TATAGCCTATGTGTTATTCTGATGTATAAGCTATATTGTGGTAAAGTGTCATTCAAATCCATTCAGTAGTTTTTACGTGAAAGAGTAACAAACATCCATACATCCATACTTACAAACTTTCGCCTTTATAATAGTAGTAGGATTCATGGTAATTCTATTACAAAAGTACATGCTTTGCAATCGAGTAAGTAATTGTATTTTAAACAAATCCTTGGTTACATTGAGGAATTTTATATGACAATTTTTATTATACTTTACCCACGCGGTCAATCAAGAGGTTTTCAATTAAGAAATTCCGATTTAATAAAACCATTATTAAACCATTTTTATAGCCATAGTTAATCATTTATTTTTTATCATACTTAAAAGTTAAGTGTGGGAGAGCCATGCTTCGGCACAAATGGGCCGGCTCGACCGGAATGATACCACGGCCTCACAGAAAACCGACGTGAAGCAACGCTTGCATTGTGTTTCGTCGTGTGAGTGAGGTTACCGGAGGCTCAATTACCCTCCCCTTCCCTAATCTCTCCAATCCCTGAATCCCCAACGATCCTCAAACTCCTAATCCCCAAAAGGCCGGTAACGCACTTTTAACGCCTCTGGTGTTCCAGGTGTCCATGGGCGACGCCGATAGCTTACCATCAGGTGATCCATCTGCTCGTTTACCGGCTTAAGCTATATAAAAAAAAATAGGTTTGGCCACTATCTCGCCTGAGAGTAAGCCTGACACCATAAAAAACCTATCATAACAACAACAGTAAAATACAGTAGCTTAGAATATACTAGACTACTCGAATGAACTAGCCCGATTCACCGAAACACCGATATATCGTACATTCAAGCGACCACAAGAGATTTAAGATGTGATGTCGAAACCATCGACTATGCAGGCTTAGTTATCGACTGTCATAACAGTGTACTGTCGTGTGAACCAGCGCAGTTAAGCTTACTATAGCTGAGTGTACAAATTCAGTGGATTGGGAACAGCATAGTTATAGGAATTGTCGAAGAAAAATGTTTAAAAATGCTCAGTTTGTTAAAACCTTATTTGTTTACCTTTGTTTGTCAAGAAAAGAGCGTACTCCTTTTTAAAAGGCCGGCAACGCACTCGACTCCTCTGGTGTTGCGAGTGTCCATGGACGGCGCTTATCACTTACCATCAGATGATCCGTCTTCTCGTTTGCCTCCTATTCCATAAAAAAAACCTAAAGGGGACGGGATTGATATCTCTTTGTATAAAGGACCTCTACAGAAACCACGAATTTCTGTGACGTAAATTAATTGTCATTACTCATTTGTATCATCGAATAGCATAAGCATGAGGATGCGGGTTCGAAAACTACCAACGGCAACTACCCATATAACTTTTTCCGAGTTATATGTACTTTCTACGATTATCTAAACACCACTGACAAACGCTGAAGGAAAACATCGACGCATATACATAATTCGGTCAGATATGATTGTACGGCAAAACTAAGTACCTATAGAAATCAATTCGTGACGTTGAGGGCTTCATAGTTAGACATATTTCTAAAAACGTGAACTTTCTTCATTATGCTATGAAGAACGAACAAGTTAGTCAAGTTACTATAATAAATCACATGTGATTTTATGTGAAACTAGCTGTTCCCCGCGACTTGGTTCGCGTGGAATTGTGATTCACAGCTCCTCCTCCGTAGATGATAGTGTGATATGTAGCCTATATGTTGGCCCGACCTGTTAGTAATATTCATGCAAAATTTGAACTAAATCCATGCAGTACTTTTGGAGATCATCCCGGACATATATACAGACAAACAGACAAAAATTACGGTACCGATTGTACATCACGCCTAAAGTATTCTTTTAAAAAAATATTCAATGTACAATTTTGACTTTTCTACGATTTTATTATATGTACCTATAGATAGATATTTTATCAACTCGACCTTCACGCAACATGTATAACAGTTATCATAACATACTGTAACAATAGCCAAGAGATGAAATGAAAACACAATTAATTCAATAATGTCAGCTAATGTCATAGGTTGTGTTATTTTAGGATTGATCGCTATTTGAGACACTCAGATTACTCTGTCTGAGTTTTTATAAAGTCTCATAGTTTGAAATAAAATTTATCAATCATTTATAACTTTCACCTTTTTTATATTTGATCGGCCGACGTTTGACCACTATCTCGCCTGGTGGTAAATTATGATGCGATCTACGATGGAGCACGTCGTCCCATAAGCAACCTATTCACTCGGGCCTTGAAGACTCCTAGGTTGGGTATAATCAGGAAATACTTAACAGAATTTTTATCTTAATTTAATCTGTCATAGGTATATTCAGAATAATAACAACAGAACCTAGGTTAACATTTTTTTCACTAGTCACTGCAAAAAAATATTAAAATTTTATATTTTCTTTGTCCACAGAGGCGCGAGCACAGATTTCGGGGCCTACGGAAAAGTATCTGAAGCCTGGATCGACGTTACGACTTCAGTGCTCCGTGGTACAAACTACAGAAGCGCCTGCTTTTGTGTTCTGGTGAGTCATTTTTTTAATAATTTAAGTTATCATTAACTGTTAACTCGACCGGAGAAATACCACGGCCTCACAGAAAACCGACGTTAAACAACGCTTTCGTTGTGTTTCGTCGTGTGAGTGAGGTTACCGGAGGCCCAATTACCCCCCTCCCTAGTCTCCCGAATCCCCAAATCCTCCACAATCCTCAAATTCCCAATTCTCAAAAGGCCGGTAACGCACTTGAAACGCCTTGGTGTTCCAGGTGTCCATGGGCGGCGCCGATTGCTTACCATCAGGTGATCCGTCTGCTCGTTTACTGGCTTATGCTACATAAAAAAAAATTGGCTTTTTCTACAATTTCCCTTGGCAGTTTATTATATATCTTTATAGACATTACCACCATATTACCTTGAGCAGTTGATTACAACTATGACTACATAGTATAAAACAAACTCGCTATCCGCCGTCTGTCTGTCCCTATGTATGCTTAGATCTTTAAAACTACTAAACAAATTGCGATGCGGTTTTTTTTAATAGATAGAGTGATTCTTAAGGAAGATTTATATGTAGAATGCATGCATATTGCACCCGTGCGAAGCCGGGGCAGGTGGCTAGTTATTACGTAAAAGAAAAATTTAATTTCTTACTTTTTTTTTGATGGGCCTACGTTTGGCCATTATCTCATCTGGTGATATGCGATGATGGAACGCCTGGACACACAAGATCACCATTTACACCCTGTATTATATACAGTCTTTACAAGGCTGAATGTTTGATATATATACTACAATTTAACATAGGATGCTGTTGCCAACGTTCAAAGATTCGGTCGGAGTGTTGAGGTTTCTCCGCAGAGTATTTAGGTCAAACCATAGTCTGATCATGGTTCTAATCGTATGAGAATATTTTGAATTATAATTATGGAAAATGTTCGTGAAGGCTGTTTGCGTACGTTAACTAATTGAACGAACGAATAGAAGAAAAGATTTTTTTCTGTAATCGTAAAAAAATAAATAAAACTAACCTTATTAGGTTAGAATGTTGCATGCGGTATCTTTGAACCGGTATGACCTTGAAACCTTCAAGAAACGAGCATATTCCTTTTTAAAACGCCGGCTACGTACCTGTGACTCCTCTCGTGTTGCGGGTGTTCATGGGCGGCGCTGTTTGCTTACCATCAGGTGATATACCAAAAAATATGCCGTCTCCTCCTACTGCGAAGCAGTCATGCTAGCTAAGGAGGAAGTGGGACGCGTGAGGCAGCGAAGCGCTGCCTCCTCGCAACCCAGCCATCACGAAGGACACACCGGGCGTCGGGGATCGCGGGACGATCTCCGGTCACCGTAAGCGCGGGCCTGCGGACGGCGAGCATGGGTGGCTCCCCGTCCGACCAGAAACAGACCCGAGCGTACGGCTCGTCGCGTTCCGCGCGCGCCTCAATGAGCCATCAGACCACCCAGATGGGGCCAAACAGGGCCGATGCCGATTTGGAGTCGCGGAGAACATGACGGGTAACCGGGGCTCCGGCTTGACGTGCAGTAGAAGGAACGGGGTGGTTTTTAGTCAGTAAGAGTCTGACACTTCCTCCCGCGAGGGGAGTGCAGTCATTCGATGATTTTCCCCCTTAAAAAAAAAGGCAACCTTTGATAGAGGCACGGTATTATAACTACTGTGATAGAGGTATCCAAAAAGGCCATATGTATAGTTATCTATCCTGTTTGTAATATTAATAAAACGCTTTTACTACATACATACATACGGTACACATACAGAAATAACATTATTTACAATTTTGTCTGTCTGTCTGTCTGTTTGTACTGGCTTATCTCTGGATTAGCTGGACTGATTTTGCAAGACTTTTATTGGTAGGTAGCTGATGTACTAAGGAGTTACTTAAGATACATTTATTTTAGATTTAAACAAAAAACAGTTATGTTCATATTTGACGAGGACGAAGTTTCGGGCAACAGCTCGTACTCAATAGAGTTAACATCATGAAACAAAAGAAACAATCTATATCTATCTATACATATAATAAAATTGTAGAAAAGTGCTGTCTGTACATTGAAAATAAAAATAAAAAAAATAGCAGGGGCTATTGTTATGTCGATGTCGAACCCAAAAATGTAACTAACTTTTTTTTTGTCTGTTTGTCTGTTTGTCTGTTCACGCTAATCTCAGAAACGGCTTATCCGAGTTGGATGCGGTTTTCACGAATATATTGTGGTATGCTTCAGTTATGCTTTAGTGTTTGTTTCATGTCAATCGGTTCATAAATAAAAAAGTTACGTCAAATTAAAGAATCACGTCGAACACTATCTATCTATATATCTATATATATAAAAATCAATTGCTGTTCGTTAGTCTCGCTAAAACTCGAGAACGGCTGAACGGATTTATCTTATCTTGGTCTTGAATTATTCGTGGAGGTCTAGGGAAGGTTTAAAAGGTGAGAAAAATTCGAATAATTGCCGGGAAAATCCTCAAAACAGCATTTTTCTATTTCCCATACAAACGTTTTCTAAATAAAATGGAGAGTCAATTTGTAATTTATTACCGCTGCATAAAGTTCAAATTATTTATTACGATTTATCTGAAAACCTGAAAACGGATATCTGACAGGTAACATTACTATGGTAACCAACCTGATGATTTGTAATTGTTATGGCGTCCTACTTCCATAATATATTTTGGCATCAACATATAAAAATGAAGTTCTGTGGGTTTTCAAGGAATAATATTAGTATTCAGCTGCATCAGAGATTTTAAAGACAAAATACGAATTCAATTGACTGAATACAATTTATTCATAGACTAGCCTCTGTCTGCGGCTTCTCTCGCGTTCTTTTAATGGGGTGAGGGAAGGATTTACAATAAAAAAATGAAATGATGCACGATTCTATGCTGGTCACAAATAACCCGCATACCAATTGTTAGCTTTCCACATTGAAAATTGCAAAATACCCCATACAAACTTTCACCTCTGTTTCACGGAAGTGGAAGGGGGTTAGAAAAAGACAAAAAGTAGCCTATGATACTCTCCATCTTTTCAACTATCTCAAATCAAAAACCTTCCTGACTCCGTTCTGTCGTGAAATACGGACAAACAAACAAACAAGCACATACAAATTTATATTATTAGTATACCTCTACATTTCTTAAGTCATCTGAGATTTGTGTGACAAGTGAGTTTACAAAGTCAATGTGTCATAGATTTTTTTTATACTATGGTATTAATATTAAGGTATGCAAAGAGGTTGACAGCAGTCTAAGGAGATAAAACCACGAATAAAATATTTTCAGTTTACTTGAATTCGTATTTTTTATATGTATATCAAAAAAACTAGCTAAATGCACATAGCTAAAAAATAATATTAGTCCTTTTCATTTTAGACCGTCAAGGCCAAATTCACTATGATAGTTTGCTGTTTTTTTATGGCATAAGCCGGTAAACGAGCAGACGGATCACCTGATGGTAAGCAATCTGCGCCGCCCATGGACACCTGTAACACCAGAAGTGCTAGAAGTGCGTTACCGGTCTTTTGGGAATTGGTAATTTGAGGATTGTCAGGGATTGGGGGGGCTGAGGGAGGGGTAATTGGGCCTCCGGTAACCTCACTTACACAGCGAAACACTCCTTTAGGTAACCGAGGGCTGGGCTCGCTGTCATTGCAGCGGAAAGTCCCCTCTTTAAAAGTGGCTTTAGAGAGGCCATCAATGCGAGGACCGCCCGGAGAACACGGTGGAGCATATCGTGGCGGTGTACCTTGCATGGGCTGAGCACCGCCGTGTTCTCAGGGATGTAGGAAACGGTGACCTCTCGCGTTCGGCTCTGGTTCAGGCCATGGAGCGAGGGGGATTGGGATGCAGTCGCATCATTCTGCGAAGCAGTTATGCTTGCCAAGGAGAAAGCGGAGCGCGTGAGGGCACGAACTTCCTCACGCCCCAGCCGTCGCGGGAGACACTCTGGGCGTCGGAGATCGGCCGACCACAGGCCACCGTAAGTGCGGGTCTGTAGACGAAGAGCAAGGGTAGCTCGCCACCCGACCAGAACCAGTCCCGTGCATACTGCGCGCGCCTTACAGAGCCATGACACCATCATAGATGGAGCCCAGTAGGGCTGATGCTCGATACGGTGCCGTGGGAGGCCTAACGAGTTGACGGGGCTCCGGCTCGACGAGCAGGAGTAGGAACGGAGTGGATTTTAGTCAGTAAGAATCTGTCACTCCCTCTCACCTAACCCAAGGCGGGAGAAGTGATTGGATGATTTTCCGACCTCAAAAAAAATCTCCTTTAGGTAATGACAACCCGATGTGTAAAAAACCACCAAAAAAACTCCTTATATTATTGGTATTGATTACGCTGTGGAAATTATGGACAATAGAGCCAAAGGGGTGTATTAAGTCTTATAGAGGACATTAATATCAACATTAAAGTCCATGTATCATATGTAACTAACCTAATATCAGAATACCTATTTTTTCATTTAAATGTTTGCGATAGTAACGCATGTCGTACCGGTACATATCAGGTCACATTATAGGAGAGAGGAAATCCCAAAATGACGGAAACTATGCGCTAAAAAACCAGGACTAAGGACGTTGAAATAAAGAGGGGCTCTTACCTTTTAAACCATTGAACCTATTTGGTGAAATTCGGTACAGCGATAGTTTGAGACCCGGGAAAGGACATCTAAAAGTTTTTAACCCGAAAAACCCACGAAACCGGGAACTGTGCTGTTAAAATCACTATATCTATTTGATTGAAATGCGATACAACATTGATTTGCAAACATAGAATAGTGAAACCTCACGAGACGGGCACTGTACGGGTAAAACCTCTATGGGATTGTTTATTTTAGAAACCACGAAAATAAATTCATTTCTCAATAAATATAACCTAGGTACTGAATCGATTGTGGTGATATTTGTTCCAGTTGTACAGCCGTAGAATATACCTTGACAAAGACTAATTTAAAAACCCAATTTATACAGAAGTCGCTATTTCACGCGGACGAAGTC